CTCGAAATTTCGAGAAAATAACTCGAGATTTCGAGAAAATAACTCGAAATTTCGAGAAAATAACTCGAAATTTCGAGTTATGGATACTAGCTTTTTTTTTTTTTTAGTGGCGGAAACGGGCTTCCATACTTTAGGATATGGCTAAATAATAAAAATTATATTATTTTTTTAAGTATAGCACAATGAGACTGTATGGAAATGATAAACACCATATAAAAATTCACACTAGATGTGAAAATTTGGCATAAAGAACATAAAAACAAAGATACATCTTGCCTTGGGTCACATTAAACCACCGCCTGTGGCTGATTATCTACTTGGATTTCTCCACACAGCTGTTTCTAGGGTTTACAGAGAATGGTTTAAAAAAGTGGAAATATACAGTGAGAGGCAGTTCTCTGAGTGAAAATGCCTTGGTGATGCCAGAGGTGAGATGAAAATAGCCAGACTGATTAAAGCTACTACGAAGGCAACAGTAACTCAAATAACCATTTGTAACAACCAAGGTATGCAGAAGAGCAACTCTGAACACACATCACATCAAACCTTGAACCAGATAGGCTGCAGAAGCAGAAGACCACACTGACTGCTCCTCCTGTCAGTGAAAAACAGGAAGCTGAGGGTGCAATAAGTTCAGAAAAATAGCCAACAAAAGCTTGGAAAATATTGCGTGGTCTGATGAGTCTTGATGTTTGCATTTCTGCATCCTCACATTTGTGAAAGAATGGGGTGCTCTCAGGAGCTCAGTCAATTCCAGTTTGGTATCATGATAGGATGCCACCTGTGCAACAAGTCCAGTCGGGAAATTTCCTCACTACTAAATATTCCACAGTCAACTGTTAGTGGTAGTGCAACAAAGTGGAAGAGTTTGGGAACAAGAGCAAATTAGCCACAGCCACATGAAAAATCACAGAGCAGTGGCTTGTGACGCACATAGTGCACAGTGCTCACCAATTTTCTGCAGAACCAATCGTTACAGACCTCCAAACTTCATGTGGACTTCAGATTAATGCAAAAACAGTGGGCAGAGAGCCTTCTGGAATATATTTCTATGGGCGAGCAGCTGGATCCAAGCCTTAAATCGCCAAACCCAATGTAAAGCACAGTATGCAGTGGTGTAAAGCACACTGCCACTGTACTCCACTGAGTGGAGCCATGTTCTCTGGAGTGATAAATCAAATTTCCATCTTGCAATCTGCTGGACGAGTCTGGGTGGTAGCCAAGAGAACAGTACTTATATGATGGCATTGTGCTGTATAAAGTTGTTGGAGGGGGGGTTATGGTGTAGGGTTGTTTTTCAGGAGTTGGACCCAGCTCCTTAGTTCCAGTGAAAAGAACTCTTAGGGCTTTAGCATACCATATAATTTTTGACAATTTCATGCTCCCAACTTTGTGGGAACAGTTTTGGGATGGCATGTGCAGAACATTACTTTATGACTGTGCATCATTTTGAGGAACGCCAATAAAGACATGGATAGGCAAGTTTGGTGTGGAAGAAGTTGACTGTCCCCTAGTCCTGACCTTACAGACAGAACACCTTTGGGATGAATAAGAGCGGAGATTATGAGCCAGGCTTTCTCATCCAGCATCAGTCAATGGTCAATGGTCAATGGTAACTTTATTGTCCCTGATGGGAAATTGATTCGCAGTATGTCAAAACAAACAACAAACAT